TGTGAGCGCGCCCGAACCAGAAGTAGAAAAATTGGCAACCCACCTCTGTGCTGGAGCCTGTTCCCAGACAAAGGAAACAACTAAAGAACAGGGGTCGACTTGGGAGTAAGGCCACAGATGGACGATGAATGCCCACCCCAGAGAAAATAAAAGAGGAGCGAAAGGGGAGTGGAGTTTGCAGGAGACAATTAGTTCACTTAATTGGCTTGTGACTCTCCGAGACTCCTTGCCAAGTTTTTGCAGACATTGGCTTGGCAGCTCTCCAAGCCAGATAAGGTCTGTGACTGTAAATCCTCCATTGAAAGACTTTGCTGGATGTGAATGAGCAGAATTCACATTAAATTAATAAAAGGGGTTTTTGTCAGGACTTTGCTACGTGCTCTTGGGAAGCCTTGGTCAGGACACCCTGTCCCTGTGGAGTTCTACACAGAAGCAGGAGATAAGGACCTCCATGACTGCCTGGATTTCCAAGTATGCACAAAACCCCAAATCCTTCCCTCCTCACCTGCACAGAGCTCTCTGCAGAGACCGGGAAAGAAGAACCCTAAGCTCTGTGCCTGCTTGAACCTTGGCAGTCAAAATCCAAGCAAACAGGGAGCCGAAAATCCTCCCCCCTCTACCTCCTTCCCCTTTCCTTTCTCTGCCTCCCTGCTCTTTCACTCAAAGGGCTGTTCTCTGGCAGGAAATCTCAGCTCTCAGCAGAGAAGTCTCAGCTCTCAAAGGGCTGCCTGACAGAGCATTGCCGGGGGGGGGGGGATCTCAGCTGTACATGGGGCTGAGATGTCCTCCCAGCCTTTTCACTCCATCCCTTTAATGACGCAGAAGATCATTTAAGGACCACAATTGGGAGTGCCATGCTTGTGGTCATTGAGCAAAGTAGTCATGTGGGCTTAATGACTGCTTTGCTCAACATCCAAGGTTTCCCAATTGTGATCATAATTCGTGTAACTCCATATAATTGAACATGGGCACTTGTATTTTCCTTAAAAATACATCAGAGGAAAGGATTCATTTATGATAAACTAAGCTATTGTTCCATTTTTCAAATGGCAGAACTGTGATTTAACATTGGTTTGAAGGAATAAAGTTTTTAAGCTATTCTTCCTATGTTTGTGAGGTGAATATGGAGAGATTTCAACATATGGCTCCAGGAAACCGAAGTATTTGTAATTGAAAACAAAGGTCATTTAAACAATTTTTCTCTAGATAAGGCTATTGTTAGGGCAGACAATGGCATGCATAAGGCATCTTTACTCCAAAGTGAGAGAGAGCTTTGATATTTGCCACACTCCAACACAGAAGCACAATTGTTACTGGGATCTCAACCCAGCTACTCCTGGGTTTTCAATTTCCCCTTTTAAAATTCAGCTATCAAACAAATTTTCAAGTTCCATTCAATACTATGCGTGCGCGTGTACGCATACACACACACACACACACACACACACACACACAAGTATGTTTCAAATGTAAAATATGTCTGTTTTGATACCATGCATAGTTATGAGGTGTTTGAACAGTTTAGCTTTTAAAAAATAGCTACATAATAAATGCTTATCCATTTACCCTTTTACTTTCACAAGTTTAAATATAAAAAGAGTCCATGATTTTCGGCAATATTATGCCTTTATTAGATCTGCAAAAATGTCAACAATTCATCTTAGAAAGATTGGAGAAGTTTCTGTCCGGGAGATCAGTGTGTAGAAGAGTCACTGATAGAAATTTTAGAGTACCAATTTAATAAGGAAATATGCAAGTGTAGCTGAAACAGACATTGTCCAGAGTAATGGAGAAGAGGAGGAGTAAGTCAGCCTCTTCCTGCCACTAAAAATTCCCTGACCCCCACCCCCCTCCCTTCTTTTCACTTCCCAAGATGTTAGCTGGCAGATTTTTAGCCAAGCATCAATTCAACACTAGCAATTTTACGCTTGGGAACAAAGAGGAGAGTTGAGCATCTGGTTGGATGGAGAGAATATTCTTAGATCAAACCAGAACGACAATATTCTCCATCTCCAAACCAAAAATGAATTGTGAATGATATGGTTCTGGTCTAATTGATCTCAACTACACATCAAGCAATTAATAAGTGACCTTTTTTTTTTACTTTTTCTGAACAAAAGCCACATACAGGGAAAAGCAGCAGCTGAAATTCTAAATGGTATTATGGCCTTGGGGGTGGGGACCAGAGAGAATGATAAATCCGTTTTGTTTAGGGCTTCATCTAATAATTACTTGAGTGATAATTCTGTAAGCTCATGTAAAATGCAAACTATTCAGGACAGTTGCCCTCAAGCACAAATGTAAAAAGGCAGAGTATTGGTAAATATTATCTATTGATAAGAACTAGATATGCGTTTCTTTAGACTTGAAAAAGATTTCAGACCTTACTATTTTGCTATAATCACATAATTACAACCTCATAGTAACAAAAATGGCATTGGGAAGACATTTAAAAAGTGCTGTTTCCATCAGAATTATTCTGTTGTTGGTGGGGGGATTAGTGAAACATTATGAAGAAACATCCATAAAACACTGTAAATTCTAAACTCAGATGAATAAAACATAATGACTACATTCATTTAGCATGTTATGCCAATGAAGCAAACCATATTATTTGCTTGGGCATAACATACAATATTGTACTGCCGTTCGCACAACCCATTAGTATAACTGTTGGGTTCTCACAATGAACCCTAATCCAACCTCATTTTAGCCTAAAGTAGTGAATGGATTGGAGAAATTAGTTTTCATTACACTTTGCAGTAGTTAATTCATATGAATATAATTCTATGCTCATTGTCTTGTGATAACATCATTTTCTGCTTGATGCAGAAGATGACCTAAGCAGCTTGATAGGGATGAAAATTCATAGCACAGGACAGGTTTCCCAGTGCAGTCTCTGCCTCTCCAACTTAACAGACAAGAAAGTTTAGACTACTTGGCATTTGATCATGCTGTAAAATGCAAAGCTTAGCAACTAGCTTTTTGAAATATAAATTCACATCGGAGGGGAGGAGAAAAGTTGAAATATGATACTATATGGGGGAGGGGGTTCAGACAAGGGGTAGGGGGGGAAAGGGTATTATATATTTTAAAAAGCTATAAAATGACCTATTTTTTTTAAAGGCCATGTCATGAAAATGCCATTTAGTTGCTTATCTAACCAATTTAACAAGTTTAAGAACACCAGAAAATTTCCTCCTTCCCTTCAAACATTACTAAAAAAAAAGAACTGTTCATGTCTATCTTCCATGATAGGACATGCCTCAATTGAAATATTAGGAGACAACCTGTCTTAATCTCCACGCTTGTATGACCTCACCCAGGTAGTTGACACCTGTGAAGAAACGTACAGCAAAAAAAATGCAGTTATAGCACCTCACTAGGTGCTTCCCTGCCATCACTCATGCAGATTTCTTAAGGGCAATATTATGATTCAGATTGCCAGCCTGAATTAAAAGCAAGTATTGTAGCTGCACAACTGCTGTATATCTGACTACAATGTAGAAAGAATTGTGAGCAGGTGAAAACAAGAGACTGTGAAAAAGATATACCAAAGGGAAAAGGTGGGAAAGCATATAAAAATCATCCTAAAATGGAAAAGGCAAATTTACAAGAAAGGGAAAAAGGATGAGATGACATTGACACAACTAACTTAGACCAGGTCAGTGAACAACTTGGCAGTCCATTTTCATAACTTGCGAAGCTTAGTTATTTTTAACCTTAGGTTTTTGTTTCGTCTGGTGGCCATCTGGTTAATGTGTAGTGGTCATGTCTTTGTGCAAAGCCAGAAAAGTTAACAACCAGGTGACACATATTGTATAAAGGCAGTCAATCTCTCATTCTCATCTGGCCTCCAAATTGCTCAAGATCTACTTGGTTTTTTCCTGACCTTGAAGGAAGAGATTTCACTTTAATCTGCACAAACATACAGAGAGTGTTTGCTTATTAACTCCTTCTTAAAGTCTGGGTCCCAAAACTTCAGTTGCTTCACAGGTGAAGGAAGGACTTCCTACTCTTATGAGCACAGATTATTCTGTTCAGGCTCCTGTCTCAGGGGAAGCTGGGGTGGACACAGGACACTGGCCAGTTTCATTCTGGTCCTCCTAAGTTTCTCTGCTATTTGGGCAGCAATGCCTATCAAGCAGGGAACTTCCCTCTAATTCCTAACACAGGCTGGCAGCGCTCCTTCCTTTCTTCTGTGTTTAAGATTCCTGGGCACACTTTCACCTTGGCAAGGGATTCCCTCACCTCAGCAAGAAGGCGGACCACACAGTTTCCAGCTGCTACTCCTTCTGACTCTCTCTCCCCTGTTTTTGTCTCTGCCTCCTGCCCCAGGGCAAAATATTTTTACATACAGTGGCAGAAATATTTTTCCATACAGTGAAGGGGGGAAGTGGCCCTTCTCTCCCGGACTTCCTTCTAACAGAGGATTCCCCAGCATTTCTCAAAACAGAATGTGACTGAAGCTTTCAACCCACGTCTGCAGCCTTTCAGTTCTGGGGAAAGCCACCCTTCCCCTCCTATATTGAAGGGGGGGAGGGCATTGTTAACTCCTTAAATATACGCTTCAGCACTAGGGCAGTGGGTTTTTTTTTGGGGGGGGGGTCTGCTTTTTAGATGCTTTTCACCCACTCAACTGGAAAGGGGAGGGGAGCTGATATTCGTCCTTCCTTCTCCTTTTGGTCCTGGGAAGAGGGGGTGGTGGTCTCTCTCCAGCAAGCATTCCGAAGCGTCCTTCGTTCCCTCCGTTTTTAATCCTCTGCGGGAGGGGCACCACTTTGCCAACACGAGGGGAGAAAGACCTGCCCAGCCACCAACCCCTTAAGGAAGGATCGTTCTCGGTCCCTCGGTCGCGACGTTTGATTCCTCCGCAAATGTTATTTGCGTGAAATGGGGGTGAGTCTTTTCTTTGGGCGCTGCTTGTGGGGAAGTCTCCTCTCTTCTTCCATTCACACTTACTGGAAGGCGCCCGGTCCGCTCATCGCCCCGCAACTCACCTCTCTTATTCATGGGTCGGATCCGCACCGCCACCTTCACTTTGGAGCCCCCCATCTCGCCAACTCCGCTCTTCTTCACTTTTCCGCAGGCTTCCGTCTTCGGGGAGGAGAGCGGAGGAGGAGGAGGAGGAGGAGCATGGTTACGGGGAAAACCCTCCCACGAGGACTACAACATCCAGCAGTCTCTGCGTCACACGCGAGCATTTTTTTTCTCTCTCTTCTTGTTGCCTCTTGGGAAATGTGGTCTTCTCTGTACAGCCTTTTAAGCCTTTTCTGATGTTGGGAATTGTAGCTCGAGGAGTAGAGACGGGAGGAGTAGGGGAGCGTTTGGACTTGCGTGATTTGGACACACACACACACACACACACATCAGTGACTGCTTGTATCAGACCCAGTTTGATTTTAGAAAGGTCTCAAATTAAATCAGAGGGAGGATGAAATGTAATTAGGAACAATCAACTCCTATGATAAGAATAGAATCATAGAATGTAAAGATTGAAAGGGATTTTGGAGATAATCTAATCCTATTTGCTGCAACTTTGTAAAGAGCTGGCCATCCAAATTCTGTTGAAATATCACCACTAAAGGACGGTCCATCACCACCTGAGGAAGTGTGCTCCATTGTTGAATTGCTATTACTGTTAAGAATTTTTTTTTCCTGATATCCAACTGAAATTCACTTCCGTGTAATTTAAATCCACTGTTTCTTATCCTGTCTTCTTGAACAACTCAGAACCATTCTGCCCCTTTTCCCATAGGAGACGGAACGCTGATACTTGAAAACAGCATCTGTCTCCTTTTCACCATGCTAAATATACCCAGTGACTTCAACTGTTCCTCCTAAGTGCTTCCTTTCAGACCTTTTATCATCTTGGTTCCGGTCCTCTGAACACATTTTAACCTGTCAATAAATTCCTAAAATGTAGTGCCTGAAATATTCTTGATGTGGTCTCACCAGTACGGCATAGAGAAGAACGATGATGTAATATTGACATATGCATCTAGCAATGCATTTGTTTTATTTGTAGTTGCATCACCCTTTAGCAGTAGCAATAGCAGTTAGACTTATATACCGCTTCATAGGGCTTTCAGCCCTCTCTAAGCGGTTTACAGAGTCAGCATATTGCCCCCAACAGTCTGGGTCCTCATTTTACCCACCTCGGAAGGATGGAAGGCTGAGTCAACCGTGAGCCGGTGAGATTTGAACCACCGAACTGCAGATAGCAGTCAGCTGAAGTAGCCTGCAGTACTGCACTCTACCCACTGCGCCACCTCGGCTCTTCATAAACCCTTTAGGATTATGTTCAGCTTGTGATCCATCTAGCTCAGTGTTTCTCAACCTTGGCAACTTGAAGATGTCTGGACTTCAACTCTCAGAATTCCCCAGCCAGCATTTGCATTGCATCTTCAAGTTGCCAAGGTTGAGAAATACTGAGCTAGATTCTAAGACCCTTTTGGAATGTGGAATGTACTATTGTCCATCGGAATTAATTCAATTATGTACGTTACTAACATCAAATTAAATTAATTAAATTTAATTAATTACATTTAAATGCAATAGTTAATTTTTACTCTGGCCCCATCCATTCAATTATCCATCCATTCAATTTAATTAACTATTAGAACACAGCCCCCATCTACAAAAAAAGGACATCCCTTAAAATTACCCATAGTATGTTTTTTTTTTAATTTAAAAAAAAATGTGCCATAGTGTGTTGTGTGAACCCAGCCATTATAGTTTACACATTTTTATTTATGTCTCAGTGAAGTCTGTAAATCCAGCCATGCACCTTTTGCAATCAGATGATCTTTGATTCAATTGTTATTATTTCCAGTTAAAGAGATCACAGGGTTCAGCCAAGAAAGATTGCAGTTTATGGCTTTGATGAACAGCCATCCTTCAAAGGAAATTGTTCTGAGGAAGACTGACTGATAGTTGAGTCAGCATAAATATGCTTTAAGTATTGACATATCAGGCTCTGTTTTATTAGCTTCATCAGGAGTGCTGTTGACTTAGTTTGTGCATACACAAACACACAGATGTACACATCCCTTCTCTTATTACTCAAGGCACTCAAGTCCCCTCCACCCAGCAGGTACTGGAAATCCTTCTCCAGAATCAACTTGGCCTGGTTCCACCCTCTGCTTTTCATACAATACCAGTCATTGTCTCCACACCCGGCCTTGTTACATCAGGCACTGCCCACAATTACCTTTTCAGTCTTATAGACTAGGAACATTTAAAAATAATAAGAAAGAGATGAGGTTACCAAATTTTCCTGCTCTGTGACACATCATCAGTAGCTGATGTGTTCGTGCCCACCAATGCCTATTTCAAACCAAATTGCATGTTATTGTTTGTTTGTGTGTTTATCAAGGAACCAAAGAATAGATACTGGACAGATAGGTTGCATCTAGGACTTAATTTAAGACTTGGCTCATTTGGGTTTGGCCTCAGAACCAGTTTCATTGCCAAGGTGCAAGATGATTCAAGTACATGGCAGAGAATGCCTTCAGTACTGTGTCAAAGTTGTGCCACCTCTGCAAAGAATGAGAGGAAAGAAACTGAGGTCAGAAGGATGATTATAGCCTTCACTAACAGCCTTCTCGCTCTCCTTTTAATTCTGTTCTTCCATAGTTTTCCTTTTTTTGAACTTTTGAGGACAATAATTCCTGAAATGGCAACATTTTTCCCTTGATTTTTTCCCCCAGTCTTTTGCTGTCTGTTTGGTGACTTTGGGACACATTTAATCACCTGAGTTAGGGAAAGAACTCATGTTCACCTGATTGTCCCACACAGCTGCATTTTTTTTTAAGGCAGGCACAACGATAAACTGTCTAGTGGCCCCTTAAAGCTGAAAACAATTGGATTGGATTGGATTTATTACATTTATATGCCGCCCTTTTCCCCGAAGGGGACTCAGGGCGGCTCACAATTCAATCAGGGAAGGGGGTACAGACAGGGGGATAAAAAAGACGAGACATAACAATACAAAATTTAAAAACACACAACAACCATACCATTCGAGAAGGGGGGCAAAAACTCCTTAGCCCCAGGCCTGTCAGAACAGCCAGGTTTTAAGGGCTTTGCGGAAGGCCTGGAGGGTGGTGAGGGTTCGAATCTCCATGGGGAGCTCATTCCAGAGGGTCGGAGCAGCCACAGAGAAGGCTCTCCTCCGGGTAGTCGCCAGTCGGCATTGGCCGGTGGATGGAATTCAGAGGAGGCCTAATCTGTGGGATCTGATCGGTCTATTGGAGGTAATTGGCAGCAGGTGGTCTCTCAATTCCAGACAATCATTTGGGGATGGAAAAAAACAATTCCCCATTGTTTCCCAAGAGGCAACTTTTGAGCTCAGTCGCTGGATGTATAAACAGAAGAGTTATATGATTAAGAAATTCTGTTTCTATGAATTGTCAGGGGTATACAATGAAGTTTAAAGGAAGCAATGAAGTTATGCCCTTCTGGCTCATACAGTGAAAGGAGAAAGGGTTCAGGTAGCTTTTCCTCATATCATACAATCATTGTTACTTTTTTTTAAGTCTGTGCAGATCACACTGTAAGAGGATTCTGAACTTAAAACAGCTGAAGCCCCACACAGCACATTGCGTTTCCAAGCCCCAAGATTACCAAGGCATGTGTCACTGGGACCAAACTATTTTGGTATTGTATAGAAACAACCAGCCAGAACATTTCCAAACCTACTGTATCTGCCTGGAGCTTCAAGGACTAGATGACTCAAGAAGTGTCTACCTGCTCTTTTTCCGGAAGTGGCTACTGAGCAACCACACTATCTCCATGCATCTGATTAAATAAGTGCAGAGAAGCAAAATCAACTTCTGGAATCAAAAGGCAGAAAGATTCTTGTTTTGTTTGTTCAGAGGAAAGGAATTTATATCCAGCTAATGTTTAGGGACAAAATAGCTTGGAGGTCATCTCTGAAAAATAGCTGACTTTTGCGTGTAAGACAGACTGACACCTGGTGGTGTGATTACACTTCGCTCTAAATAAATATTTCACACAAGTGTTTTTCTTCTGTTACTAGTAACTTTTGTTTTGAGAAGAATCCATATAACGCATATAAGAGATAATTACAAACAGACATTTTGCAACTACTAGAAAAAAGTGGTAACCCTTTCCAATGAGTTGTATAAAACTGAAAGCTAACACTTTTCTTGTTTCTCCTTACTACACAAGTACTTTTCAAATCAAAATTTCCTCACTGAAAGGATAGCCACCCCTTTTAGGAAAAAAAAACAAGCAATCAATTTAAAAGATTAATAGAGTAGTATGTAGTCTTTAAATTAATCAGTATCAGAGGATGACTGACTATAGCAGAGGTGTCAAACTTGGGATGGCACATCACGCGATGTATTGCATCTTTTTAGCCCTTCGCTAAACTGGGGGTGGGGGGGTTAGGGTGTGATGCCTCTGGCCCATGGGCCGCGAGTTTGACACCCCTGCACTATAGAATTTAGCATGTTCTTTGCAAAATAATATCTTTGCAATTTTAATTCAGAATCAGTTGCTAACATAAACTAAATTAAATAGTCAACAGTATGGAAGAAGGAAGCAAATAAAAGCAACAACATGAAACAGAAAGAGAATTTGTCTTCTCCTAACCCCTTCACTTTCACTTCTTTTATAGTTTTCTCCTATCAGTTCTGCCCACAGAGGAGATTGGGTGGAAAATGCTACCCATTCCATCTATTTAGACTTGCCCTTCCCAACTCTACTGGCGTCCAGGTTCTTGTCCTAACTCAAAAACAAGAAAGAAAGAGATACTCAATGATGACATGCAACATGATTCTCCTGAAAAATCTCAGATTATGGACAACTGAAAATTCAGGGACCCCTGTTTTACGCAACCTGGGAGATGTAACTCAAGATTAGAAAAAAAGAAGATGCATCTTGTAGTGTGACAGTACAATATGGTTACAAGAACATGGCAGTCTTTACTCATCCCTCTCGATATGTAAACCTGTTCTAGAATCAGGCAATGCCAAAGTGAAATCAGATAAATCAGTAAATAATCAAAATAGTAGAAATCTTTTATTATCAAA